CTGAGCATCTTGAATTAGAAAGCAATGGATTTCTTGCTTCTGCCACAAATTCCCCTAGCTGTAAGCCTTCCAACCGTCTAAATATTCCTTTATATGTGGTTCAGAGTTCTGGCACCATCCCCAGAGCCTGCTTGGTCTGGTATTCTGTTGTTGCTGATGGAACCCCTCACTGCACTTCCACCCTATCCGCCATCTTGTTTGTTCTCCCTGCTCATGAGCTTTTAAGACTCCAGTCACCTACCACTCACCAAAGTAGAACGTAGAACATTGTCTTTGTGGACTGTGACAGTCAGTTGACCATGGTGTCCCCTGAGACTGTGGTTCTGAGTTCCCAGGCCCAGAAACCCTTCTCTCAAGATGTTTGGTCATGTTGAAGAAGTTGTCATCATTTTGCCTGGTGTGCTCTGCTACATTCTTGGATATGTTTGCATCAAAGGTAAATATTTATATGCAAACATCCTCTGTATTTGAGGGATACTCGTACTGTCCCTCCTATGCTCACCCAGCCTGTGTGTCTGTGTACCTACCTGTAGATGGCTGTTAGTGCAGGTTTGTGTGTGTAACAGCATTTCCCTCCATTCCCTGCATCTCTTGCACCCCACCCTGTGTCTTCTCCTGCCTGCTTCATTCTTCTGCCAACCTCCCTCTTGTTCTATGTTGCCTTTCCTGACACCTGAGTTTACACCTGTCTCTCCTGTTGCCAGTGCACTGCTCTCCCTTCCCTGCCACCCTCGCTCCCTTTTCTCTTACAAAGACACTTGTGTCTCAGAGTAGAACTGCTCTGTGGGGTGCTCGTGGTTGTGCCCATCTGGAGCTTTCTTCTGTGGTGCCAGGGGGTTGGCTTGAACCAACAACCTTTATTTTGGTTAGTAGCCCTGTGTTTAACTGTTTGAGCCACTCAGGAATGCCTCAGGAAGCTAACACACCTTTCCAATTTCTCTCTCCCTTCCTAGCTGCCCTATAACTTGGAATCCTGGAACGAGTTAGGAGCAATGACGGAATCTAACAGTGGATATTTGGCTAGTTTAATATCCAAGTGGCTTACCTGCCTGTCTCCCACTGGTAATGCCTTGTCCTTTCCTAACCCTTTAGACGGGGAATGGCCAACATTTCAGGATTGAGTTTCACACAGGAGGGGACTGAGCAGAGAAACTGGCAGCCTGCCTCTTCCTTAAGCTGATGCAGGAAATAAATTTTCTCTCTTAAAATCAGAGAGGCTTTGTAAAAAAAACAAAAAATCAAACTCTACGCTAACTCAATGCAGTCACTTAGGTATTTAAGTAACAAGTCTATATTTCTCATTATCTTCATCTTACAAGCCCAGTGTCTCCAGCTCGGGAGGAAATGTTCTTCAAATCTATAGACAAAGAGATAAGCACCCAGAGAAGAGCTAAATTTACTATTATGTCACCAAGGTGAGGAAAGACTCAACCCTTCCCAGAAAATACACCAGAGTCACATTTACTGCCAAGATCCAAAGGGAAAAAAAAATTTATTTACAATAGAGAATTTTATTGGAAACATGCATTTTTCTTTTTTAAACCAATCAGCAATTGCAGATCAAGTTTGCACTCCTTAAGGCAAGAGTCCCTTTGCAAGCTGTCCATGTTGCTAGAAACCCCAAAGCCGCTCACCCTGGGAACTCAGGTACAAAGGGCAAAGTCAAGGTCAGGGTTGGTGCTGTGTCTGTATTAGAGTCTCCCTGATACAGGAATTCTGAGATCAACTTGCTATGAATGTATATGAGGAAAATGCAAACCTATAGCAAGGCATTCTGATCGTCTTCTTAGTACTGCATATAACCAACCCAGCTTCGTTTAGAAAGGAAATACAGTAGTGCATATAGAGTCTTAAAACAGCCTGTCTGTGGAGCTGGGGAGACAGCAGTGTGCCGACGGGCATATTGCACGCAACGGTGAAGTCCAGACATTTGGTTCAAAGTTAGCTTTTCCCCATTTTGGCAATCAGCTCGTCACAAATCTTGGTGAGTTCTTCTATCTCCTTATTCTGAAAGGGAAGATGAGAAAGAAGTTGCTGAGGTTTGAAATCAATCCAATCAGAAGGGCCACTGGGGGGCAGGGTGTGCCACCGGGCCTCTTGGTCCTCCAAAAAGTTGTTGAAAGCAGCAAAAGAGATAAATGACTTGGAGTCAAACGGGATGACTTGACATGGTCCCAGTTCTGTGTGATCTTGGTGAGTTACACAACCTCTCTGAGCATAGCATTCCTTATCTCTAAAATGTGGATGATATGGTCAGTCTCTCTGATAGGGAGAAGAAGATGTCAAATTCTCCTTCCACAGTGACAAGAACCGGGGGTGGTGGAGAAGGGGCAGCTGAACTAGTCTTTCTTTGTTTGCCATGAATGACTGGACTCAAAAGGAGGGCTTGGGGTGAATTCTTGGGTGGTCTTTCCAGGAAATGCTGCAGGGAGGGTCTTGCGGGTGTCCTGGGTTGAGGACCACCAGAATTACGTACTCCTCAGGTGCAAGCTAGACACTATTGTGGGTGCACTGGATCGGAGAGGTGATGCCCTGCGTCCCAGGAGCTCTTCTTGGCCTCTGGAAGTACGTCTCACCTTCATCGAAGCCCACTTTAGGGAAGCTGGCAGCTCCTCCTACAACTCTTCCTACTCTACGAAACAGGACCAGCATGCCGGGTCCCTCCAGCACAACCGGGCCAGCCTTCCTCCAGACTGACCGGGTCCAACAGTACCATCACCCTAGCCTGAGGGACCCTCTCCAAGGGGCAAGATCTTTCTGAGATGTTAGGTTCCACTGTGCAGCTACGTCTTAAAAACAGACTTTCCCTTAACCAAAGAGTGCCTTCCCAGGAAGGTTCCAGCCCACAGCACCCTTTCCTGGGCTTGGGGGCCAGGCACCCCCATGCCAATGCTTGTACAGGGGAGGGGACAAATGACAGCCCCCACCTGCCTGGCACCTTACCTGGGCCCCCCTGACGTCTAGAATTTGCCTCTGAGGTCAACACCTCACAAGTAACTGCTGCTCACAGGCGTCTTTGCCAAGTGGTGTTTAGATGCTAAACATATCCAAGCACTACACAATCTCACTCAGTCCCTAAAACCACTGTGATCACTACCTGTCAGTGAGAAAACAAGGCCCAGAGAGGTTAAGCATTGGACTTCAAGTCACACAGCCTGGATGCAAATTCAGGCTGACCCAACTCCTATCAGAGTTTTGCTATGAAATCACATCCACCTTCTGATGGCGAGAGGCCCCAGAGTACCCTTTGGCTACTGACCCTTGGATGGTCACCAGGCTCTAGGACCTGGTGCCATCAGTCCCTCATCGAGCCAACTGTCCCATGGCGGCGCTTAGTTTATTGTGCAAATACCTCCCCAAAGCCCTGACTCAGTGACCTGCCCGCTGCTTCTGACAGGGGTGTTCACTCACACCTGGGTCTCTAATGCACGGACTGACCTTGTTCCCACTCACTCACCAACACGCTCTTGGGCGCAGGGATGAAATGATTACTCTGGAAACACAAAACAACAACTCCCTGCCATCAAGTTGGTTCCAACAAATACCAAACCCTGTAGGATAGAGTATAACTGCCCCACTGGGTCCCCAAGGTGTCATTCTACAAAAACACACTGCCACATAGTTCCCCATCAGAGCAGCTGGTGAGTTTGAACCACCAACCTTGGGGTTAGCAGCCAAGAACTTCATCACTATGCCACTAGGGTTACTTGCCCAGCACCTTGTCATTAAGTGTTATTGAGTGGGTTCTGATTCATAGCTACCCTGTATAGGGTTTCCAAGGAGTGACTGGTGGGTTTGAACCGTGGACGCTGTGGTTAGCAATCCAGTGCTTATCCTACAGTGCCACACCAGGCCTGGTACATAGTAGGTGCTTAATAGACATAAACAAATGAATGAATGAATGATAAAAAAAAAAGGGATGGAAATCAGCAACAAGCCACCAGAATCGCGTTCAGCTGGATCTTAGAGCAGGAGAGCACAGATCCGCAGGACATGACGATGTTGATCGACCGTCAGTCAGCCTGGCTCTGTCCCAAGAGCCGCAGGGGCCACTGCAAAGCCTGGCCTCTCACCTTGGCTTACTGGACAGACTGGCCGGCATTCCCTGTGCTTACCTTCTGCTCCAGCGCCCCCTCCAGTGCATCCACACGCAGCTGTTCCTTCCGCAGGCTGGCCTGGTAGGCAGCCTGCTCTTGCTGCGCCTTACCACGGACCTGTGCAATCTCAGCGTTGGCCCTGTGGGGACAGAGGCTCATGGGATGTCTCCCTTCCCCGGGACACCTCCCACCTCCACCCTGGGGCAGGGGACAGAGTGGACCAGGCCCCAAGCACAGGACGCCATGAGAACGGCCCGTGTCTGTTCCCATAATGCCAAGGGCACTCGAGGATGGACAGCATGCACCCTTTGCAGGTCAAAATGAATGTCAGTTCATAGCCTTCGGGCCCTGTCTCGTGGTGACGCCGTGCACATCAGAACCAAACAGTCCCCCAACCAACTGTGGATATTGCAACCTGTAGTTTCCACTGGCTGGTTTTCAATCCTAGACCACCAGTCCTCTGTCCTGTGTCCTTCTTACTCTAGAAGCTCTGTTGGAACCTGTGCAGCGTCATACAACATGCACGATGCTGCTGAAAGGTGGTAGTGGCTATGCTTGATGTGCGTTGTTCGAGAGGGCAGATCGTTAGAAATAACACACATGCGCTACCCACCCCTTCCAGGCCACGGCAAGGGTGAGGCAGAACTTGCAAGTTATAGCAGGGCCTGAGAAGCCTTTTCCCAGAGGTGAGGGGCAGAGCGCAGGCTGGGGTACCTGTCCAGTTTCTCCTCTGCGTGCACCTTCAGAGCCTGGTACCGTTGCTCCTCCTTCTTCACGCGGGACAGGTACTCCTGGGCACACTTCTTCAGTACCTCTTCATTCTGTCAGGGCACAGAGACATCCAGCCCGGGAGAACCACCTCCCACTCACAGGCTGAGACTGCCTTCAAGGGGCCCCTCCCAGAGCTGCCACAATCACCCCCAGCCCTACCCACTCACACACCTTACGAAAGCCCTCTAGGACCTCTTTCATCTTCTCGTATCTCCTGAAAAGGTCAGCCAGTGATTTTTCCACCGAGTTCAAGTCAGCCAGGGCCTGTTCCTTCTCCAGGACCAGCTGCTGGATGGTGTGGTGGGAGACAGACTTTTCCCGCTGCTCGTCCTCTGGCGGGAGAGACGGACGGAGCACGGTGATGGAGCTGGAGGACACAGACTGACTCCAACCCAGCAGAGGCCCCTCTGCAGCTCAGCTGCCCCCCAAACTCCATTTCTAACAGGAGAAGCTTCCAGACCTCCAGCCTTATGCAGTATCAGATGGGGTGGGAACCCACCACGCTCCTTTCAACCTTTCCAATGCGGCCCCTTAACAATCTGCTTTGGATACCTCAGTGATTTGATTTGGTTGTTGACAACACATGGATCCATACAATGAAAGTAAACAGCACTTGTGAATTTTGTGTTAGGCAAGATGAAAGGTGCTGTCACCTGCACTGTGGGGGTGACCTTCCTGAGATGGTACCATGGTAGGTGATGACTGCTTCTCATCCCTAAAGCACCCCAGGAGCCCAAAGTCTCCCCTGAAATTCCATCTCACACAAGAACTGGCAGCCTTTCTGGCCACGGTGACTGTTGAGCTCCAGGACAACTGACTGGGCTGTTTCTGTCCACAGAGGATTCAGGTGGCTCAGTCGTGCACTAGGGACTGGGACTTGGGTGTGGGGCAGGGTAGCTGACTCGAGGACTACCTGCTGTGTGTCTGCCCACCGCTCAGCCTGTGGCCTTCGTTAACCAACATCCCAACCCACACGTCTTGACGGGCATTTCTGTGGCCAGCGCACATCACAGCCCTCGCCTGCACTGCAGCTATCCCTCGGTGCTAGCTTATCACTGTCCCAGGAGGTGAGGAACTCAGGGCAGCAGACGCCTGCTCAGAGCTCCGGGGGGAAGATGCTCTGAGGAGCTGGCCCTGCGGGATGGCATGCCTCCAGACAAGTCACAGCAATGACAACCATGCAGCGGCCAGCCCCTAACAAACACTTCCATGGGCTGGCACCATGCCAACCACTCTCCTCTAACAACACCCTTAAACCAGCACTTCGCGTGAAGCTTGAGCTTCCTGAGATAAAATCCATCCTGTCGCGCTGCTCAGAGCTCCCCAGTTTCCCATTGTACCAAACTCTGGGCCTCTCCTGTGCTCTTGGCACTGGCCACATGGCCTCCAGGATGTCCAGTGGGTTCCTGTCCCTTGACTCACCCTCCCTCCCCTTCCTCATGGATCCCTGCTCCTGTCACTTCCTGGAGGGTCTTTCCTGATCCCACCTGTTAGAGCTCTTCACAGCAGCTGGCACTGTGTCATCCCATTACACACAGCCATGTGTGCACGACTGTGCGTGCATGTGTGCCTATGTGTACACTTGTGTGCCTATGTGTGCACATGTGTCTCTGTAGATGCATGTGTATGCCTGTGTAAGCACGCATGTCTCTGTGTGCCCTTGTGTGCCTATGTGTGCAAACGTGTGTCTATATGCACATGTGTGCCTGTGTGCACGTGCCTGTGTGCTTGTGTGCTTATGTGCGTCTGTGCATGCCTAGCTTGCATTTTGTGCACGTGTCTCCTGTGCACATGTGCACCTATGTGTCTGTCTGTGTGCACATGTGTCTGTGCGTGCATGCATTTGTCTCTGTGTGTGCACGTGTGTGCCTGTGTCTGTGCTTGCACATGTGCCTGTGTCTTCCCACAGATGTAGTCTATTTGGTTACTGTGTATTCCATCTGGTGAAGTCCACATGCACAGTCAATGTTTATGTTGTTGAAAAAAGGTATTTGCATTGAAAAAGTAGTTGGCCTTGTAAATTCTAACATGCGATCTTCAGTACTGTTTCTATTACCAAGACCATATTTTCCAACTCCTGATCCTTCCTGTTTTTTTCAACTTTTGCTTTCCAATCACCAGTAATTATCAATGCATTCTGATGGCATGTTTGATCAATGTCAGATTGAAGAAGGTGGTAGAATTCTTCAATTTCATCATCATTAGCTTTAGTGGTTGGTGAGTAAATTTGAATAGTGGCATTAACTGGTTTTCCTTATAAGCATATGGATATTATCGTATCATAGACAGCATTGTACTTCAAGATAGATCTTGAAATGCTCTTTGGATGATGAATGCAATACAATTCCTCTTCGATTTGTCATTCCTGGCATAGTAAACCATATGATTGTCCAATTCAAAATGGCCAATACCAGTCCATTTCAGTTCGCTAATACCTAAGATATTGATCTTCATGTGTTTCATTTTTGACAACTTCCAATTTTCCTCAATTTATACTTTGTAATTACATTTTGAGATTGTTAATCGATGTTTACACCTGTTTGCTCTCCTTTTTAAGTTGTTCCCTATCAACAGATGAAGGTCCCACCAGCTTCACGCCATTCAAGTCACAAAGGTCAGAAAGCTCTGCTCCACTCCCATCATTATGGCCGGCTCTACTCTGAGGAGCTCGGCAGCTCTCCCAGGTCTATCTGGAGTTCCTTGTTCCAACCTGAGGGAGGCTCAACTTCTGACACTGTATCTGACAAGGCCCTGAACTATTCATAAGGTTTTCAGTGGCCTGTCATTCAGAAGTGGCCCACCTTTCCTTCTTCTTCGTCTTAGTCTAGATGGAAGATTCATTAGAAATAGAAGGAGACTCTTTATCCTAAGGCACTGGTGGGAAGATTACATGAAAGAATGCAGACAGAGTCCCAGACACATACTGAGAACCCAATACTGTGACCTATTAGCAAGAGAGGGAGATTCTGGTGGCGCAATGGATAATCTCTCAGCTAACCCAAAGGTCAGTGGTTCAAACCTGCCAACCACTCTGAAGGAGAAAGATTTACATCCGTGGAAACCCTACGTGGCATTTCTACTCTGTCCTATGGGGCTGGCAATGTGCGCGTTCTGTTTGTTTATTTATTTATTGTCAGTAGCATCCAGTGGCACTGTGGGTTAAGCATTGGGCAGCTCACGGCAAGGTTGGCAGTTCAAACCCACCAGCTGCTCTGAGGAAGAACGATGTGGCAGCCTGCTTCCATTAAGGTGACAGCCTTACAAAGCCTACCGGGCAGTTTAACTCTGTGCTACACTTGTTTTGAAGAACCCCTGGTGGAACAGTGGGTTAAGTGCTAGGCTGCTAACGGAAAAGTTGGCAGTTCAAACCCAGCAGCCACTCTGAGGGAGAACGATGAGGCTGTCTGCTCCCCTCAAGATTTATAGTCTCTGAAACCCCAAGGAGCAGTTCTACTGTGTCCTGTGGGGTCGTTATGTCAGAACCAACTTGATGGCAGTGGTTGGGTTCTTGTTGTCATTGTCCCTGCACTGCTGGCAGGACACAGAGAAGTGATTCATCACAGAGACGCGATCTCACATCCAGTGAGAGTAGTTGAGAGTTGGCAGCGAGTTAATTCTGACTCAGGACGATCCCATGTGTGCGGAGTAGAACTGCCCCCAAGCGTTCTCATTGTCTGTGGCCTTTCTGAAGCAGTACCCCAGGCCTGTCTTCTTTCTGAGTTGCCTCTGGGTGGGTTTGAACCCCCAACCTCCCGGATGTAGTTGAACGCTTAACCATTTGTGCTTCCCAGGGACTCAGAGCAGCACCAACGCCAATAGGCTTGCTCTCTCAGGGTTCCTAGAAGGAGGGGCATTTCAAAGTTCCACTAATCACCAAAGGCTTTCTTCCATGCTTTGAATTTCAGTTGTTTCCTTAATGCTGTCCAATGAACATTCTGGGCTTATCTGAGGTCATGTCTACCTCTCGCTCCACTTGGTAACAGAACCATTTATCAAAGGGGAGTTGATCTGATTTCCTGAAACACAGACTTGGCCTGTCTCAAGTTTCCTTCCTGCCCAAGGAATCCTTTCAAAAATAGAAGCCCCCAATTCCCAGGAGACAGAGGCGGCAAGAATTCTGCACGCATCATCTTTCTGTAAATTACAAATTCAGCCAGGGTCTTCAAACCAGGAAATCAGCCTGCAGTGAAAGGTGCTTCAGACTCACAACAAAAGAATTCGCCCTCAAGACTGTTCTGGCTTTTTCTGACAAAGCATTACTCAGCTAGGTGGGGAATGTAGCAAACACATAAAAGCAAAAACAAAAAAATTAGGGGGGGAGACAGAACAAAAACTAGGGTCACAATGGGCAGGTGTCAGATTAGGTGAAAAGCATTTACTTACCAGGTTTGCCTATTTGTTTTGCAAAGAGCAAGAAGCAACAGAAAATGGAAGCAAAACAGATAATCAGGGCAGTTGTTAGGAAAAGCAGAAAAAAATCAATGGTAACAACTGGGAAGGCAGAGAGCAATCTCTTTGTTCTGAATTCTGAATACTCAGTGCTTGGGTTTCATAAGACACTCTCTTTTCAAGTACCATTTGATGAGAATGCACCCTGATGGCAGAACAGAATGCCACCTTGGCAGGGACCACTAGTGAGAGTCTTATGGCAAATCACAGAGCTGGGCTAGAGCTGAGAGACCCAGCATTGGGTTTGGGGGGATGGGGTGGTGGGCACTGGTTTTAACTTTAAAATGCAACTTTAGTCAGTATGGTCCTAGGTGTCCAGTTCTGTGGTCTGAGTGCCCCCTCTCCCCAGGGATGCTGGTTAAGTGGTAAGAGGATGAAAAACACGGATGCCAGAGGAGACCCAGGAGTGTTTCCATGTAGTACCAGCCAAAAAAATGGATGGGTCCTGCCCACCGCTACAGCAAGCCCCCATCCTGCCTCTGCCCACAAAGGTCACGAGGACCTTGAGATCAGTGACTACCATAGATGTGCCAACTTTCTGATGAGGAAAGCTCTGGAAAAGTTAATGAGGAAGAGGACAGTGTGTAAGGATGGGGAATGAACACATAGTAATGTTCCCAGCTAGGGACGCTGAGGGGGGCCTCACAAGAGCACCCCAAAAGTGCTCAACACCTCAAGCAGGAAGATGCTCAAAATGCAGAGCAAGCGGTGTGTTCTTGGATCTCAGACTGTGGGGTAGGGAGGAGGACGGGAGGAGATGAAAGATTAGGGGTGGGGTGGGCATGTGTGGCCCCAATCCCTGAGTCACAATGGGAGGGAGGAAACAGATGGCCTTCTTCGCTGGGTGTGGGGAGGGATTTAATTGGATTCACATTCCATGTGCACCCCTCCACCCCCCACCTCGGGCCTACTCTCCCTGCACATAGTCTGCAGAGAAAAAAAGCAGACGCGTTGAGTAATCTGTCGCTGCCGGGCAGGCCACTTGCGCCAACCAGAGAGACGCTCGCTCTTAGCTTCCAACAGGGAAATGTCTGTTTCTCCCCATCTGTAGCCTGCCCTCAGAGCAAAAGCTCACACCCTTTCAGCATTTGTCTGAAGGCGCCACAACAAACAAAACAAAACTCAGGATGCTGTGACATTGGAGGGTGTTTGAGCTCTGACATATCCAATCTGTGGTCTCACATTCCAAGACCCTGGGAGGCCAAAATATTTTGCTCAATTTGCCAAACATCGTCTATTTATTAGAAGGCATAACTCTCATCCTGAACACGCTGATCAGCTTTTTCTATTTCAAGTTTTTTTTTTGTATTAAAAAAAAAAATCCTCATCTCTATGTATCCATAAATTCTTATACTAGTGAAATAAAGACAATTTCTTTTTGATAGAAAGCAGGTGCCCTGAGGCCAAACCTTAGAAACATCCAAAGGGCTGCCTCTATTTAGTTTACTACACTAAAACCAAATTCAAGCCCCTCAAATAAACGGAGAGGATTCAGCTGCTGGCCTCTTTAGAGCCCCCAGCGTTTAGTATAATTCTCTTTGGCTCACACAAGAGGTGTAGGCGACTCAGAAATTCCAGCATCTGGGAGGGAAAGAGGGAGACCACTGGGCACCAACATGCCGAGCGTGGACACAGATCTGTGCTGGCGGTGAGCTGGACTCCCTACCCTTTAGAGAAAAAGATCTTCTAAAGAATGGATGTCTTGGGACTAAGCAAATAATAATAGATAATACAACTCTGGTAGCGCAGTGGTTACGAATCAGGCTGTGAACTGCAAGGTCAGCAGTTGGAAACTACCAGCTGCTCCGTGGGAGAAAGATGAGGCTTTCTGCTCTGGTAAAGATTTACAACCTTGGAAACCCTGTTCAGGGTTACTATGGGTCGGAACCGACTCGACAGCACTCAACAACAACAATACAACACCACTACTGCTTCCTCCCTCGAGTTAATGTATCATTTTCTGAATCGGGATCATTACGGTGAAGACATGGGCTTCATATTTGTGCAAGAGATCTATTCTCATACTATGCCAGGGGGTTTCCTAAAGTCTGTGGAAACATTTCATTACTTTTTTGTTCCATTTTCCACGCAGTTTTGAAGTCCCTCCCTCCCATATATATCTATTGAAGAGAGAGGTGTGTGTTATTTATAAAATTGAATTTGCCTCGGGTTGCTGCCTCAGTACTGTCCGTACTGGCTGCCAGGGAGGCTGGGTTAAGGATTCTGAGGCACTGCCCAGTCTCAGGGGAAAGACTGCTCTGGTCCTTAACAATATCTGCCTCAGTGGCCACAGGAGGAACGTGAGGGGCAGCTGGTTTCTGCTTGTAGAAAGGCTGAGGGGGGCACTTAGTCACTAAGTCTGAACTAAGATCCTAAGATTTAGGCATTTGATTCCTATTCTATAAGTAAACACATACCCAAACCTCTTTCTTGTTCAGCTGAACTGTCTTCAGCTGGGCCAGATGGTGGCCTTTGGGTGGCTGTAACAGTTTCCCTAGGCATGAATGACACTAAGGGACATCCTAGCAGGTGTGTCCAAGCTCTCCACACTGGGTAAAGCAGGGTCTCGGGTACTTGAGGGAGTCCCAAGGGAACTGTGCTCAGGTCACACCTCCAACCCCCTAGACACACAGTCTAGAAACCCCAGGGCAGGTCTGAGCCCCACAGGATGGACACGTACCTATCATCTGAGCGATGGTCTTCTCATACTCGGCCACTATTTTCCTGTAAGAGAAGTGAACGTGTGGTGAGATGTGACGATAGAAGCCGTTTTCTCTCCCTCACAGGTCCGAGAGTGGGACAGAAACAGCAAACGGACACAGGGCTGGCCACGTTTCTAGGGCCACCTCCAGTCTTAGCCCTCTTCCGGGTTTATTCTCCTGGTGCACCCCACTCCTTGTGTGAAACCTCCAAGGTCTCTCCACTACCACACAGGGCCACACCTTCCCCTGATGACTGAAGCTTTCTGCAATCTGGACCCCATGCCATCTCCCTCATCAGCCTCCCCTCCTTCCACACCAGCTCATGAACACATGGTGAACTAACAGGTTCTTGTTTACTCTGGGCTGCGATGCCTCTGTACCACTGCACATACTGTTCCTGGCATCTCTCTGTTTCCACCTGTCACAGTCTACCTGTTTCTTAAGGTACAAGTCAAATGCTAACTCTTCCAGAAGACCTTCCTTCCGTGGTTCCTCCCTGGAAGTCCACAGCATCTCCTTCGAAAGCATCTCACACCAACCCCACAGCAGGGGAATCTTACCTCCTCTGTGAGCGTGGAAGCGCCTTAAGGCTCAAAGGCCACTTTGTACTCACCTGCGTGTGGTGTGTATGTTTTGGAGGTGGGGGTGGGGTGGGGCTAGGCCTGGAGAGCAGACCTGGGAAAGCCTTAATAAACACTCAGGTCAACACTGTTTCATGGTTGTCCCCAGGTGGAAGGGCTGAGAGGTGTGAAGAAACCCTTCCTCCAAAGTCAACCTCAGAAAGACTGCGGGGTGTCACCTAAGTTACCCAGTAATTCATTCCACAGGAAACCAAGAGCTGTAAGCCACCAGCAAATCCAGAACCCTGATTCCAGAAGAATCTAAAGACCCAGGAAGCCCAAGCTGAACAACCTACCTCATTTCCATCACTTCCCTCCGGCTTTCTTCGTATTTATCTTTCCATTCCGTGACCTCTCTCTCCTTGGTTATGATCTGCGGCCAGGGAGAAGAAAAGACAGCCCTCAACGGGTGAATTCAGATCTGAGCCAAAGGGAAATGGAACGCAGGTACATCTAAGACTCAGCGCACCGATCTACAGTTAAAGGTAAGTCAAAATGCTCACACATGAATACGTTTATTCCAAATCAACTATTCTTACACACGTCTGTCTGACCCGTGAATGGTGAAAGAAAAGCTCTCTGAGTAATACATTTGTCTTAGCCTTGTTGTTGTTAAGTGACACCAGTCAGCACCGACTCATAATGATCCTATGCGCAATAGAATGAAACACTGCGTGGTCCTTCCAAAACCAGGTCCAATTAAAACAGCGGCTTTCAAGGGGTCTGCTGAGTCAATTAAATTCAAGGCAGAAGGCTGTGGATGATGGTTTTTGTGAATTCCAAAGGGGTAATTTTGATAGGTTTTTCTTGAAGACATAGGATGATCACGGGGGCTTAGCAGGAAGGAGTTTTTTAAAAAATTGAGAACTGCATTGATGAGAAAAAGGCCAGGAAAGCTGTGCTGAGGCATTTTTTTCATCAAGACAAGGCACCTGCTTATTCTTGGAGGGTAAGGGCTGTCCCGTAAGAATTTCATTGAGAAACCTTATCCATCTACCCTAAAGCCCTGATCTGGCCCCTTCAAATTTTGTTCCCAAGACTCAAACACTGACTTGAGAGTCCTCAAGGATGTCCAAACTGTCATTTGGTGCAAACTGAAGAGCGCAGAAATCTTCAGGGAAGGGTTAGAGATGGAAACACCGCCTTCACCAGGCCATAGACCGAGATGGAGGCTCTGCTGATGAACAATAGCTTCCCATTTTGATAGTTTTGTTTAATAAAGGCTTCTTTACCCTCGTTTATTTCAACACCTTTCCCTGTCATGAGGAAGAAACACTAGACATCAGACTGTCACTGGCTACTGGGGAGCAATCAAACGCTATCTGCATCTCATTATACATCAACAGTGGCTTCTAGGAAGATCAAAGCCCTTGGTTTGCTACCACCTGTGCCTGTAGCGTTGTGAAGAGAAAGTCTGTCTCTGGAGATGCTGACTTTGTGGTGTGTGGGTGTATATATTTCTTCTTCACAAAGGGCAAAACCGTTCTCTCTCCCTGGTGTGACTGGAGCTGGCCTTCTCGAGCCAACACGCCCACATACCTCTGCTCTGGCGATCTGCAGAGCGGAGTCCAAGTCAGGTGACTGGAACAGATGACCTGGGGCTTTCTCCGCCTCGCAGGTCCCGATGCGTGAGTACAAGGCTGTTTTGGAGATGGAGACATCTGCTGGGTGAGCAGCCTCTCTCTGTAAAATGGTTTTTAATTAAAAAAAAAAAAAATTAACATTAATTATACAACAAAAGCAGCTTGCGTTCTTTGTCTCATGAATGGGTCAGTTGTATGGGTTTGAAACAAAGCAGCCCAAGTGCATGAGAAAATGCGGAGAATAATGGATGGGGAGATGCTGGATATAGTTATGGAAAGCTATCGTTTTGCACCTGTGTGAGCAGACAAAGAGGCTAATGGTAGAGGCCCTTGCAGCCCTTGGAGTCAAGCATGTCTGGTGCCGGCTTATCAGTACCATTTATCACACTCGGAGGCACTTAGCCACAACACATAAGAACCAAGGTCACTGGTCAGCAGGCGCCAATTTCTCAAATAAAGCTCAGTGGTGAACCGTGTTGAATTCTACCCTATGTTTGCCTAGTTTTGAATAACCGCAGATTTGATTGTTTTTGTAGGACTGTGCACATTTCCATTTGGGGGGCATTTATTTAGCTCCATTTGACAGGATGTAATTCACAAAAGGCTCATAACCCATCATAGTTGTCAGCCAACCAAGCTAGGGTTTCTGGATTCCTTACCGGTAATATAACATGGAGTTATGTTTCTGCAAAGATAGTTGTGCCCATGGGAAAAAGAAAGCCTCCATTAACTACAATAGCCACATCTGCTGATACAACCCTCAACAAGCGGTAGGATCCCCGGCACCCAACTGGTGTTGGTTTCCCTGTTGTGTAGGTTTCTGTTGCATATAGACATGACCCTCCGTGTCTCTCATCAGCCCTTTCTTTACACAAATGCTCAGCAGCCTCCAACACAGTTAAATGCGATGTAAGGAGTCTTGGGTAGTGGCACACCCAAGCTGTCAGTCTTGTGCAAAGACACATCAAACCAATCATTCTCACAGTCCTATTCATTAAGCTCGTGGTTGCTGTTGTGATTGCCATGGCAAACCTCCATCCTGGTGTCTAGAGTCCAATGCCACATCATGTACAAGTAATGGTGGTCTGACAGGGAGCATAGGACTGCGTCTTCCTCGGGAAATGTTGGAGACTACATTGAGCAGTGAACCTAATACCACCGTATAGTGGAAAGGTGGAGGACAATGAGGACTCGTCTGTAAAAGGGCAGCAGACCAGATGAAAAGAACCAACAGAAACTCAAGGCACTTGAGCACAAGTTCTTCAATCACAGAAACAGGTGAGATAAGCTCACCTTAGCATTGGGGAAAATCAACTTGAGAAAGGAGTTGTTGTTATTATGTGCCACGGAGTCGGTTCCGACTCATAGCGACCCTGTACAGGGTTTCCGAGGCTGTAAATCTTTACAGGAGCAGAAAGCCTCATCTTTCTCCTGCGGAACAGCTGGTAGTTTCGAACTGCTGACCCGATTTGTAACCACTACGCTACCAGAGGGAGGCAGCTTGGAAAACTCAAAGGGAAGTTTAATGGATAGGACTGGAGGTAATGCTGTAAGTCCAGTTAGTTGTACGCATGCAAGATGCACGGAGTGGCTTTGGGAATCCTGGAGGACATCTGTTGTTTAGGTTTTGCCGCCCCTGCCTGACTAACCCTGAACAATGGCTGCTATTCAGAGAGATGAGCTCACAGACCCAAGACCCTGGGACCTTCTCAGACTTCCGTCCTAAAGAAGTCTAGTTCTACAGGCCATGAGGCCACGAGACCACCTCACGAGGCTGCAGGTTAATCTTGCAAAAGAAAGAGCTGCTGAACCAGACAGGGTGCTACTCTGTGTTGTTGGAAATGGGTTTCAAGGTTCTGACTGCGAGAGGGAAACTTCTTAGGAAGTAACTGGAAAACTATGACTAGAGATCAAACCTCAACACTTGCATTTATGGGAAAAAGTTCATAGAAGTTCCAAAGAGGATTAAGAAAACAAACTGTTTCTATCACTCTTAGTAAGATTGCATTTTACTTAAGAAAACAAAATGAGTAGAATTTCAAAATAAACAGAACACGAGATGCCATACGACGCAGCCTACTCCAACTGAAAAAATTGAGGATGTGAGAGATTGGGCCGGAAGCATTCTCAAAATGAGATTCAGTTCTTACCCAAAACAAACCAACTCCCTAAAGTACAAGAGAAAATGTGTTTAATTAAAACTGACTTTATCACACTAGGCAAAAAGGAAATATGATCAATGCAGGCATTACAGATCTCTTTCAAAGCTGTCCAAAGACCTTTGTTGTTGTTGTTGTTAAGTGCTGTTGAGTCAGCTCCAACCCATAGCGACCCTGTATAAGGTTTCTAAGGAGCAGCTGGTGAGCTTGAACTGCTGACCTTGCAGTTCAAATGGACTTTTCAGTCCAGCACATTAACCCACAGCACCACACTAGGACTCCAAGCTGTCCAAAGTTCTTTGTAAAAGCAGGAAATTAAAGTAACAGCAATAAATAAGTTAAATAGTGAGTTTTCTAAGTCAATGCAAATGGCTACTCACAGGTACAATGATATATTGTCATGTTCCCCCCAGCCACCTGGTGTTTTCAAGAAAAGAACAGATGACTTCAGAATCTGTGAGAATACTGCCTGAGTATCAGCATGAGAATGAAATTCAGCATGTGCACTTTTGTGAATTCGGTGTAATTGGTAGCTTTGTCTCTCACTGGTATGTTAAGATTAGATTTGGGTTAAACTTTCCCTGACTTGGTTATTGTTGTAAAGACCTATCAAGTGGGTTCTGACTCATACAGACCCTTACTTGGTTTCCCAGGCTGTAAATCTCTGCAGGAGCAGAAAACCTCGTCTTTTACCCAAGATGCAGCTTGTGGACTTGAACTCCTGATCTTGTGGTTAACAGTCCAGTGCTTTACCCCACAGCGCCACAACGGCACACCCTTGCTCTTTTGTTGTTGTTGTGAAGTGCCGTCAATTGAGTTCCTACTCATAAGGACCCTGTATAGGGTTTCCAAGGAACAGCTGGTGGGTTTGAACCTCTGACCTGTGTGGTTCAGTACTTATTCTACAGTGCCACTATTTCAGAGGGACCAAAAAGCCATAAATATCACAAGTTAAAATGTGAAATGGCGAAGACCCAGAACCAACTTCCAACCCCTCAATCAGTGCCTTCAAATCCAGGTTCCTACAAGACCCCTGGGGCCACTGCCAAGTTCTCAGACTCACAGGAAGCATGCCTGGGATCTTCTCCTCTTGGATCCCAGATGGAGATGGTGGAGCCGGGGATCTCAGACAGAGCTACCACATGACCTTAGTAGGGCCTGTGTCCCCAGAGCAACTAGAGACCAACTGGGACAGCGCAATGGCAGGTCAGAGCAGGCGCAGGGGAAGCCGTGCTGGGCTGAGGCATCCGTGGAGTGTCTGGGCCCCGTGTTACCATGTTAGGCAGGAGAATGGCCTTAACTTGGCGCTGCCTTGTCCAAATCAGACGAGTAGATCTCAAGCTCAAGAGCAGCGAGTGCCCGGAAGGTTCCTCATGCCAACACCGATGGGCTCCTTTCCCACCTCCCTCCAGGCCATCTCCATGGATCCTAGAAACTGGTAGATGAGCTGAGGCCCACAGGCCAGCCTTTATTGCTCCTTCTCAGTGTTCTCCTGGCTTCTTCACGTCTCCCTACTTTTGAGCCATTGTTAACTATCAGGAGATGGTAGTTTTAGGACACAGGGCCTGAGAAGATGATGCAGTTTACGATCTCAGGCTGCCCAGACCTAACTCCTTCTCTGTTCACCTACCATTCACACATCTGCCTCGAACAAGCCAGAACTTTTGCAGAAATCAGACACTGAAGATCTACAACCCTTCCTCCTCCACATGATGCCAGCGCTTACTTGATTCTACTTTGTTCCCAAGATACACAGGTACACCACGCACGCTTTCCATCCAAACTCTCCTTAGAAGTGAGGATAGTGAGACTGTATCTCTAGTACTTTGAACACACTATCAGGAAGGACCAGTCCCTGGAGAAGAAAGGATGTCATGCTTGGAAAAGTGGATGGTCAGCAAAAAAAGAGGAAGACCCCCCTCCCCCCCCAACAAGATGGACTGACATGATGGCAACAATAGCTGTGAGGATGGCTCCGGACTGGGCAGTGTTTTGTTCTGTTTCACTGAGTCACAACTGACTCGATGGTAACAACAACAATCCAGAAGGCCAGCGACTTTAAGGATCACAACGATGCCCTGTAACAGACACAAATGAAACCACCTCCTTGGAGCACGGGACCCTGCAGGAGGCCATACAGACAGGATGTCACACTTCTGCCTGTCTGACCTGGCCCTTGGTCACATTTACTCCCAGAAGGACCCAACAGAATTCAGTTCAAAGGAAAGGAACAGCGAGGCTGCAGTCGGACACAACTCTCTGAACTGTCCCCTCCGTGATGTTTTCTTAGGAACGAGGCAGAGAAAACCAGCAAGAGGGTCTCAAAGGCTCTCCGAGG